GAATTTTAAAAGGTTAGGAAGTTGTTGGTTTAGTTTTAATTCAACGTTTCATCGAAAGCTAGAAGTCATTTTCTAAATTCCAGGTATTGGGCGCGTCAAATTCGATTTTGGGGTACTCTGAAGCTCAGACAGCTGCTCTCTTCTCATTTTGAACTCTTTCTGTCCTAATAAAAAAGAAACTTTGTTCGGAACTCTGCTTCCCAAACTAAACGACACACACCGGAATAATTTTCCTCCAGGTGCAAGGGCGCTACTTAAAAGCCAAACACGCAAAAACGCTGCTAGAACCATTTTTAAAGGAGACCAATTGAAAGGTTGATACAAAATTACCTAAACCTGCCTCCTATCTTTTAATTATTTAGACATGTCTAAAACACGGACTGGAACCCGGAGTTGGCCTGGATCCCACAGTCTTTCAGATGTACGTAATGTGGAGTACAATCCCACTCCATACTTTTAACTGAGCCGCTGATGGAGTAAACTTTTTTTAAACTTTAATTGAGCATTTAATTGCGCACGATTTGTTTTAATTTCAATTCAAAATACTTTATTCATCCCCAGGGATTCAGATCATGAATTGTAAAAGATTAGACAACAGCGTCAGAAAGTGTTTCAGAATTTCTGTCTTTGAAGTTTAGATAGATCAAGCAGTGTGAAATATACTGTTAGTGTCTGATCGTCACTCTCACCTGTAAATACTGTACATCACTCATTGACTGTAGTTCCTCAACATTTTGTTACTGCATAACCGGTGTATACGGTATATAACAAGATAGAATTTCGATTACATTTGTAAATTCATCAAAATGAACTTGCAACTCTCTCTTAGAGCCGACAGTTATGAGTTAATATAAAGCTCCTAAATACCTGTCGTACAGTGCTTCCACTAGTTTATTGCCAGCTGTTTGATAATATTTTTTAAGCACCTGCACTGTTTGCTTGAGTACAGTAACTTTCTTATCTTACTGTATATCAAATCTAGCAATAATATGGAACTGTGACGCTCCGTTGATCGCGGAGCAAGTTGTTACGTCCTCATCACTATTCTGTTTTCTGTACATACACTAGTTCTCCTTCTATTTACATACATTGCTTTTGATTTTTAAATCTTTATTCCGAAGGATTAAACTTCTATGTGGAACCTTGTCAAACGCCGTAAATCATGTCGTGACACCTACTGATATAAAGGAATTAAAGGGATACTCTGGCCGGATAGCAACTGGGGTATAAAATATTTTGATTACTTGAATCGTTTTTAAAAATGATGTCTTTAGAGTCTTTTCAGGCATTTTGTTGAAAAAAAAACATCAAACTTTTAATCTCTCAGACTTCACGTCTGACACATGACATTCCGGCTCCCCCAAATCTACAGCAAATATTGATACTTTATTTTTCCCTGTCAAATCGAAAAGATAAACAAGTCATGTCCAGTCACAAAAAAAGGCTTAACAAAGCGCTTTACAAAGGCGTTTCGGTATCCTTAATGCTTGAAATTAGAGTAAACAGGCGAATCGCCTGGTCTCGGAACTTGGCTTTAGGCTGAATAAGAGATGTACATGGCCGGTATTCTGCGTGGCCGGCCTGGTGGCTCCGCGGGCTGAACCATCGGACACTTCTAAAGTTCAGAGAGCAGATCGACTCTTGGAGAGTCTTGTGAGTTGAAGTCGAGCCCCGAGCCTCCCCGTCAGTCTGAGACCTAATCCCCGGGTGAAGCTCTCATGCTGTCGGGGTGAG